ATTACATAATGGTTACTATGCAAACCCACAAACACACATCAAGTTTCTCCTGTTCTCATTGTTTACCATTACAATAGGCAATTAGCAAACAAAAAGCATGTCTCTATCTCCTGAGCACTCTGAGATTATTGTAATTTGTTCTCATTATATAAAACTACTATGAACATCCCTGTGGTGAGGTGTGCGCACACCCAAATACAAATCCCAGAGGCCAACTTAAACATAAAAAAATCCCTTTACTGAGGTGTTACAGGCCATCTGGAAGGCAGTAAATAATCATACATCTAGGGGGGGCTCATACTAGGGAGCGCAACAAGTATGCAAAAAAAATAGATGCAAATTGAGGCTCTAATAGACACACAAGTTAAACAGGGAAAGAACAGCTAGGTGGGGAGGTGGATAGGACCATCGTCTCACAGCAGAAGACCAGGATTTGAATCTAGTGTGGGGCCTTCCTGGCATGTTTTCTATCTGGTTATGTTCCCCAGTCCAATTGCATGCATGGGGTTAGTTTAACTGGTTATTGTCTCGGTGTCTTAGCCCTGCAGTAGATTGACAACCAGTCCAGGCTGTAAGAGGTCTGATGCACTATGACAGCAGGGATAGGCTCCAGCCCAACCACAACCCTTAGTCTGACAAGTGGAAGAAAATGGATGAATGAGTAATCAGGGACAGTGAAAATACCAAGTTGACAGTTGAAACTAAGACATTAACAAAAGCAGTAAAAGTAATAAGCACCAAAAGACAAATACCTCTAAGATAATAAACAAAAAAATCAACATAAAGAGGATCATTTCAAAGATGAAGACATCCAATGAGATCCGAGAAAACATTAAGGAGGTTAGGCTAACTGGTAGTCTCAACACTAAAGAAAACCACACTGTAGCAGAACCAGTTCTTGCTAGAAAAGTAGCAATGACTAATAGTCTGGACCGTAAACAGAAACTGGAAATGATAAGTGCAACCATAATACGTTTACTATAATTACAGAATTCAAAGAAACATTAAATATAAACTTAGAAGTTCCCACAGAAAACTGAAAATAACCCCACAGATCCCCACAGGCTGCGACACTATGACTTACAGCCATCGTCAGAGCGTTGTGTCATAGGGGGTAAACAAGAATCAAAGGTTCTTCTCCACTGACATCCATCCAACTCCAGTCTTCATATTCAAAACACACAAACATGTGTCTGTAACTGAGATCTAAGCGTCGGCTGTAATCCGCTGAGGCCATTGTTGCTGTTTATCATTAAAAAAAGTAAATATTTCTGTTATCTGCACTTTTGCTCTGAGTTCAACTTTTTTTCACCCAGCAACATCAGAAAACTCAAGCATGTTTATCTTTGAGGACTTCAGTGACTTTCATCAACTGCTAAAATTTTAAAACAATTTTAAAACTGTTTAGTATTAAAATATTTTGTATTTATTCAGAGCAGAGTATAGAGGTCTGATACTGGCATTGGGAGACGGTTGCAGTTCCAGCCAATCCCAGAGGAGCACTTTGGTGTCGTACAGTGAACCATTGTCTAAAAACCCCAAGAATCTGAACCAGAACGTTTTTTATCTAATGATTCATTTCAGGAGCTTGAAGTTCTTTTTCCTCGATGTTGGCAGAGGACTTTCTGTTTACTCCTGCTGCTGTTTAACTGATGGGCTTTCATTTTTTTATGGATGTGGAAGAATGTCGTTGAACTTTCACGGCTTGATGGTATGTGGGTGGTTCTTTGTCTCGTACTGCTCAGCAGTGCGTTGAAGAAAAACACGTTTTTTGTCGACAGGTTTATTCCTATTTCACAGTACTGAAATATTTCACACAGCAGCTTTTTAAACAAAGATACACCAGTAATAAAGTAAGCTTAAACCTGTAGTTCCTGTTTCATTACATCAGAATTCCAAGTGCAGAAAACAAACTGGTGGCTTTAATAACAACGTCATACTGGAACTGGCATTTTTCCATTATTTTATGGGCAAACGTGATGAGTTTGTTTTTCCAGCTCGCATCAGGTTTACTGTAAGGTAACCAACCTGCTGCTCTTCTTCTAACAACTCACTGCATGTGCTCCTTCTTGTTTTTCACATCCCTCAATTTCTCATGCAGATCCTCTCTCGACAAAGGGTCCAAGCAAGACAGATATTTACATATTTTCATATTATATTGTTACAGCTCTGCTCACAAGCTGCAGCAAGTAAAGGGACCTTCTTTATTTGAAAATAATTAATCATTTAGATTTAAAACAAAAAAGCAGATGGCAGAGAGCAAGAAGTGTTGCCTTCATCCACACTTGATATATTATGTAGACAGTCAACAATTAAACCCAGGCAACACCCAGAGAAACTTGCACTGCCACTGCATGACCAACTTCTAGAGCAGAGCTGTGCATGCTAGTGTAACAGAGAAACACCAATA